AAATCAATAAAAAGCAAACCTTCTTTCTCGTTTGGGAGGAGGGGGGGGGAGGTGAGGACGGGCGCGGGGGAAGGAAAGATCATCGGGCCGTGAAAGCGTTTCCACCAAAAAAAATCAAAATCGTACGCAGCAGCTTTCGTTTCTTTTCTTTTTTTTTTAATTGGGAGTACGCAGCATCCTCACTCGACTTGTTTCGAAATCAGGCCTTCATTGAAAAAAAAAAAAAATCATACTGTCATCATAAACCGTCCATCGTCGCTGAGCTGGCAGCGGCGATAATTGGACTAGCGTCTTCACCCGAATAGAACGCATTATGTCTGTATCTAGACAGGAATCCGCCAGAAATACATGTGTAAATACCGGGCGTTCTATTCGGAGTGAAGAGACGGTAGCCAATCGGTGGTCCAAAACGCAATACAGATTGATAAAGAGGCAGACAGACAAATAGACACGTGGACAAACAGACAAATAGACACGTGGACAGACAGACAAATAGACACGTGGACAGACGGACAGACACAGAGACACAGAGAGACGTTGCTGGACAATGATAGACAGACAGATAGACAGAAACATGGACAGAAAGAAAGACAGACAGACAGATAGACACGTGGACACAGATAAATAGACCGACAGACATATAGACACGTCGACAGAGATAAATAGACAGACAGACAGACAGACAGAAGGACAGACAGATGGACGGATAGACATAAATAGACAGACAGACAGACAAAAACAGCTAGATAGAAACATGGACAGAAAGGCAAACAGCCAGACAGACACGTGGACAGAGACAGATAGACACATGAACAAACATAGAGAGACAGAGACAGGCAGAACAAACACTGACAAACAAACAGACACAAACACGCAGAGAGACAGACAGATAGACATGAATAGGACAGAGACAGAGACAGAGACAGAGACAGATAAATAGACAGATAGACACATGGACAGACATAGACAGACAGGCAGATAACTGATAAACAAGCAAACAGACACAGATTGACACGTGGACCGAGCGTCCGTCAAACACGTGGAGAGACAGACCGACAGACAGACAGATGGGCAGAAATTGATAAACAGACGGACAGACAGATAGAGCGACTCGCACGTGGACTGATAGACCGACTCCTGGACAGATGAAGGGGGGCGTGAGTTCAGAGTATTGATGCTTGCCTGTTAACAAACATCCATCCAAGATAACAGTCTGGTCTGACCAATCCGAAGACCAATCCATATAAAAGTCTGCTATTCATTCGCACACGATGAAAATCGCCGAGGTACAAGCTAGCAACAGCAAAGGCCATGCCAGCGGCTATGGCGGCGGCTATGGCGGCGGCTATGGCGGCGGCTATGGCGGCGGCTATGGCGGCGGAGGTGGCAACAGTGAAAAAAAATGGCGGCGCGGAGGTGGCAACAGTGAAAAAATGGCGGCGGCTATGGCGGCGACGGCGGCGGCGGCGGTGGTCGACGGGGCCTCACCCTATCGGGGGAGTCCCGATTACGGCCAGGTTGAGCTAGTTACCTGTGGCCGAGCCTCGTATTCCTCGCGCTATATCTGTCGGAGGAATCGTGAAGTATTCCTGGACAGGTGCAGCGGAATCTAGCTCTGACGAATGATTAGAATTCATCCTCTTCTCCCGCAAGCGAGCGAGCGAGAGAGAGAGAGAGAGAGAGAGAGAGAGAGAGAGAGAGAGGAGGCTCCAGGGGACATGCCACTCACGGGGAGTTAGAACGACACTGGCCGCCGTAGATAACGATGAAAATCGACCGCCAATCGCCTCTCATAATCCGTGCAACTGGGACCTTGCCCCTTGTATGTCTCGCGCCCAAGCACCTCCTCACACAAGGACTTTTCTGGATGTAAGTCCTTGTGCGACTATGCTCTCCAACACCTTCATCTCTCTCTCTCTCTCTCTCTCTCTCTCTCTCTCTCTCTCTCTCTCTCTCTCTCTCTCTCTCTCTCTCACACACACACACACACACACTCCTTGTACGATCCTGTCCTGGAAGTGTGATACTCCCAGTGGACGCTTTTCGTTCTTCCCAGGTTTCGGCGGAATACGAGTTCTCTCTCTCTCTCTCTCTCTCTCTCTCTCTCTCTCTCACACACACACACACACACACACACACGCACGCACGCACAGAAGCATGCGCAGACATGTAAAGCCTCCTCATTAGACGCAAGGGGCGAGGAGTGACCTTAGTCGTTTCTCCATTTCCTTTTTTATTTTTGCCATTTCGCGTTCCGCAACGCACGGGTTGAGTAGTGGAAAAAATAAAGAGGTCCTACAATTGCCAATATATATAATATTAATATTAGAAAATAGTAAACATTTTCCAATTTAAGTAATACTATTATCTGATGGTAATTCTCTATGTCTACTCTTCGTTGCTAATTTAATTATGTATGTATGATATATATCGTCACAAACAGAACTGCCCGGTAAACCGTAGGCAGAGAGAGAGAAGAGGACAACAAACGAGGGGCTGTGACAAACTGTTTCGTCGGAGTTTCACCGACTCATCAGGAGGCTGAACCCTCAACAGTCTGCAGAATCCCCTCACTGATTACACTGTAAATGGTAATCTACCTTAACCAAAATCAAAGTAGACTATCACTCACCCACACCAGATGCAAAACTCTACAGACTGTCGGTTCACACCCCATCATATATATATGTATGATATTAATCCATATAGAATTGGACACTAAAGACAAGGATTGAGTCGAGTGAAGAAGAGTGATATGTGCGTGGTCCCCACAAGACGATTGCCACCACTGACATTGTTTCTCTTTTTTTTTTTTTTTTTCTTTTCACTGCTGCTGTATATTTAAGAAATAAATTAAAAAGAACAACTGATGTGATTCCCTGTGGATCGCAATCATGTCTCTCTGGCGGCAATTTCCCACTAGCAAAGTGGATTGGATTAACCGCATGAATCTGGATGCGTTTGATGAAGAATGCAGAAAAAGCATGGATTTTCTACCCCTCTCCACAAACGCTTCCACATTCAGAAATTAAATCCAATCGTCTTTGCAACTGGATCCCGGCGTCCAACACCCCGTCGCTTCCTAGCAGTTGCGCCAAGCAGTCGGCAAAAACAAAAACAAAAAAACAAGAAATGGAAGATTGCATAGAAGAAGAAGAAAAAACGAGACCCGCTGCCCCCTTCTCCCCCCCCTGTCTCTTATACACATCTAGATGTGTATAAGAGACAGGTGTGTGTGTGCCTTCGTTCTGTCAATATGATGGTGATGGATCCCCCCAATCAATCCGCATCAAATAAAGAAAAGAAAAACCAAAAACAGCACAGGTACTGTGCCCAAGACAACATCCGGTACGTCTCTCATCAAACAGAATATATATTGTATATATATCCTCTCTCTCTCTCTCTCTCTCTCTCTCTCTCTCTCTCTCTCTCTCTCTTTTTCTTTTCACGGACGAGGAGAGTCATTTCCTGGAAACAGCAGAGTTACTGCGCGCCGGCAGAGGGAGGCCTGGGGTATTTTATATATGTTGTCACAGAAATATCAGAGCGCAAATGCAAAAAAAAAAGAAAAAAAAAGGCGAAACAAGGAAAGGAAAGAAAGCGAAAAAAAGTAACACAAGGAAAGGAAAGAAACCGAAAAAAAGTAAAACAAGGAAAGGAAAAGAAGTAAGGAAGGAAAGCCCCACCTCTGTATCGGAGCGCAAAGGCGAAAAAAGCTAGGCTACCAGCCGGACCGCCCGGGTCCCGGGTGGCCAGCCCGTGCAAGGACCAGCGAAGGTCCAAGCAAAAAAAAAAGAAAAAAATCAGAAAAATCCGAAAAAAAAAACTATGTTATGCAGAAAAATAAATCGAACAACTTTTGCCTCAGGGCCACATTGAAATTCTTCACCGAATTTAGAATAAAAAATAAATTTTGATTTTTTTTTATTTTTTATTTTTTGCCCTGGCCGGGCAAGTGGCCCAGGACCACTCTGGTAGCCTAGGAAAAAAGACTCAAACAAAAAGAAAAAAAGAAAAAAGGAAGGAAAACTCCGCCTGTTCACACCTCTTACGTACAAGGCCGGCCACGTGGATGACAGGTTGAGCACCGCCTGCCCCCATCCCCGTGTGTCACAAGGACCCACTTGCATGTCACACTGTGAATCCGAACGCAAACGCGGAAAACGACAAAACAAAAATAGGAAAGCTCCGCCTGTTCATCACCTCTAACGCACAAGGCCAGCCACGTGGGGGTGGGGGCAGCCGCCGCTCAACCTACACCTACGTGGGCGGCCTTGTACGCAAGAGGTTTTGAACACGGGGAGTCTTGTAAGTAAGAAGATAAAAAATGAATTGATATCTTTTTCTCGTTTCCTTTGTTTTTTTCGCTTTTGCGCTCTGATATCTTTGTGACGATATATATTTATGAACAGGTGGAGCTTTCCTTACCTCTTCCCCCTCCCCCTTTTTTCCTTTTCCTTTTTTCTTTCCCCTTTTTTGCGCTCTGATTGTGAGAGCGCAAAAAAGGGGAAAGAAAAAAGGAAAAGGAAAAAAGGGGGAGGGGGAAGAGGTAAGGAAAGCTCCACCTGTTCATAACCTCTTACGTACAAGGCCAGCCACGTGGATGACAGGTTGAGCGCTGGCTGCCCCCATCCCCGTGTGTCACAAGGACCCACTATATATATGAACAGGGGGAGTTGTAAGGAAGAAGATATAAAAAAACGAATTCATTCTTTTTTCTTCTTTTTTTCGCTTTTGCGCTCTCACATTCATGTGATGATATATATGTACCTTGAGGGCAGTGGTTGGTGCCCACCTCAGGGTATCAGTTGTCGGGCAGTCGTTTATGCTTAACCACAGCCGGGGTTAAGGTGGATTGTCACTTACAGTGTAATCATCAGGTTAGGGGGTTCCGCAGACTGTTGAGGGTTCAGCGTCTACTGATTGATGAGTCGGTGAAACTCCGACGAAACAATTTGTCACAGCCCCTCCCTCGTTTGTTGCCCTCTTCTCCCCCTCCCTCTCTGCCTACGGTTTACCGGGCAGCTCCCTCTCTGCCTACGGTTTACCGGGCAGTGTAGTCAAACAGAGCTGCCCGGTAAACCGTAGGCAGAGAGGGAGGGGGAGAAGAGGACAACAAACGAGGGCCTGTGACAATATCTGTTTGACGATATATAGATATATACATATATACTTCCATACAGGTGCTGGATGGCTGTGGTCAGCTCGTGGCGTGAGATGTCGCGATGTTTATTTTTTACATACGATATATTGTATATATTATTTATTTATTCCATATATCGTCACAAACAGAACTGCCCGGTAAAACCGTAGGCAGAGAGAGAGAAGAGGACAACAAACGAGGGGCTGTGACAAACTGTTTCGTCGGAGTTTCACCGACTCATCAGGAGGCTGAACCC